CACACACACACACACACACACACACACAGACACACACACACACACACACACACACACACACACACACACACACACACACACACATGCTCTGAAAGGGTTAAGCAGCCGGTTAGGGAGGAGACCTGCTCTGTGTCCAGGATGTTGAGTGCTGCGGAGCGATGGTGTGCTGTTACACTGCATGAGGCCTCGGCTCCACTTGGGTTCTGATTGGGCCTGTAAGATCACAGCCGCCACCACCACCACCACCCCCACCCCCACCTCCCTGAGGGGTTCTCTCTCCACATCCTCCCTGTTGATTATCACCACTGCCAGAGCTGACTCTTGCACTCCAGCTGCTGTCCACACACACTCTGGCTCTGGGGCTAATTTAACCAGGCTGCATGGAGGGAGAAAACTTTCTCACACGGGCCTGAAGAAGCGGAGCTGCTGCAGCGAAGCTCCTCCCGGGCTTCAGCTCGCTGCCCTCCACCAAGCCATCGCCGCTCTGTGACTAAAGAGCCGCCCCGCTAACACGCCGCGCCTCAACGATCACAGCAAGGTCCCACAGTCCTCGTTGCTCGGGGGGGTATTTCATCAGCGCAAAAGTGGACAGTGAAGGTTTCCCTGCAGACCAACATGTGTTCTGCTCTCTGCAGGTGTTTCCTCGGAGCAAAGTCGGAGCAGAGGGCTCGCTCGGCTTCCTGAAAGGTGACTCTCCACAGTCATCTTCAATTAGAAACTAAGCGTGTAGGCTCCTAATGCAAAACACACACACGCTATCTTTCTAGCTACTGTATATCAGAGCATAGGGTGCTTTTGTCTCAATACGATAGATTAATGTATGAAAGAGGGCTGAATTCTTATTTGTTTATTAGGGTTTTTCCAGTTATTGTTATGTGATAAGAGCAAAGGCTGAATAATTCACAGAGAGAGAGAGAGCTGCCTAAACATCTGTTTCACTTAGTGAGTAAGGGAGAAAAACCCAATAACTGACCAGTGAAACTAAAGGTCCGGAGTCAGACTCAAATGTGGCCTTGCTGAACAAAATACCCATAAACCACTTGGGTTTGTGCCAGCAGCTTTGCATTAAAGCAGCGTTAAGCGAGTGTGGATGATTGTTGATGTCGGCCTCTCGGAGGACTCCGGTGTGTCTCTGCCTCCCGGGTCAAACAATTGGGCTGAGTGGGCAAGACGCTGCTCCGGCTCCCCACTCCCCCCCCTGCCGACGTCCCCCCCCGTTAAATGGGAGCATTGTGACTGCAGACCTGTCCTCGTCATGTACACTTTCTTTTTTCCTCCTTCTCTCCCAGCACATAATGACCCCAGACTCCGTGACGACAGGCATTGTTTCCGACTGAGCCGGCCAATAGAAATTAAAGATGAGGATCTGATTCAGAGGCAGCTGCGGGTCTTTTTCTGCCATGTACTGTCAGTATAATACTGTGTCCAACAATATTTTAACTGTGAGGGTATGCGTATTGTTTTAATCAATTCAGACGTCTTGACGGAGTAAGAATTCAATTGTGGCATTAGACCTGTGATCTGATGCATTCATGCCCTCACATGTGTAAAATGCTGTTATTATATATTTATAGTATGAATCCCTATAATTTAAGTTATTGATTTTATTTTGCAAGGTTCGGCGATGTGCACAGGTTTCAGATGTTTTCAGGGTCCATGGCTTGGATATACATGTATATTTTCTGAGGAGGTGATCAAACACATGACAATCACACATACATTAAAAACAGAGAAACAAGCACTTTTATTAAGGTTGAAATTGTTTCAAATAAACCGTTCAAACACCGTTTAGTTTCTTCTCTGCCGTAATTTCCCTCCGTCAGGCTGAACAGTGAACAATGCAGTCACACTATTGCTGGCAGGTATTTAATCTCTTGTAGCCATTTTATCTGGGAATTCCCCTGTCTTACAGATATGAAGTACAATTTGGTGAAAGAGTTATGTGAAGATCACCCCCCCCCCCCCCCCCCCCCCCAAGGGAGGCGCTTCAGGAACCCCACAGCGGAAAACAAGATAGAGATAACGTTTTTCTTTTTAAACCCCACCATTTCAAATGCACAGGGGGCATTTTTCCCGTGGGACACACAGGGACAAGCTTTGTAAGAAAATGGCAATTTTTTCCAAATAGGTGGAAAGGAAGGATTTTAAATTTTTAAAGAGACTGTGAACGTATTCATTTTATGTCTATTTTGGAAAATGATTTAAATGATGATTTAAAAGCTAATTTATGAATGAATTTACCAACTTTACCCCTAAACCCAAGCCAAAGGAAAACTGACCACAGAGATAGCGTCTTTGGTCTCAGAAGGCAATCAAAAAGAAATTAACTCTAATTTTGTGTTGTCTGTGATTTTCCCTTGTTTATTTTGAGTTTTAGTTTCTGATGAATGCTTATTTTAGATATATTTGTTTAATCTAGTTTCCACTGGTCTGCAAATTGCTAGATGCTATCAAACAATGATGTCAGTGTGGCTATTTCTGCCTCACACCCACTCACACACCCACTCACACACACACACACACACACACACACACACACACACACACACGCACACGCTGATCTGCATGTATAAATAATTCACATAAGATCAAGCTTTGATCCTCTGATAGTCTCTCGGCTTGCCACTGGTGGCAGGAAAACCAGTAGATTGAAAATGAGGAATGCATCAAGGGGTGTGCTGTTTACTTGCAGCGCGGGCAGCTGGTTAGCCGCCCCTCTGCCGTTTACACCCCCCTCCCTCGCTTTTCAATTCCAGCCAGACCCCGGCCTCGGCCACTGACTGGGGGCTGGAATATGGTGCACTGGGGGGATCAATGCAGCCCCGAAGTGAAATGTCAACTGCGACCCTGCCATGTGTCAGGCTGTGAGGGAGTTGTAATGGCTATTGATCCACTGCGCGCTTAATGCAGAGCCGACCCGCCACCGCGCCAGCCAGCTGCAGGAGCAAGATACATGTATGAGATGAGCTAAAAACTGAGAAAATAGAAAAGAAAGAGCCCACGGTTTTGACCCCCTCCTCACATGCCTCCCTCGCTGGCTGCAGATTGATCTTCCTCTTCCTGCTGGTTCTAACCGGGGTCTGTCATTATCTTACTCTGTCATTAGGGGCTCCATTGACAGCCTTGGCCTGTCTGTGTCACTCTATTGAGACAGCAACACTTTTCCCATGCAGGGTTCCCTACATTTATTAAAATCTCTGACAGCCTTGCCTTGGCTCTCTCCGTAGACGGCTGAGCTTCGGCCAGCGGGGTAATTGGAAGACGAGGCGAGTAATGCCGGTGAGGTGTACGGCTGTAGGTCAGGCTGGTTTACATCAGGCCGCTTGAGGAATAACATTAGGCCTCCTCATTCTGAGGGTCAGGGACTGAACAACAGCACACATCCTACATGGACGCCTCTATCTGTTAAGCATGCGTGCATGATCACGAGTTTTCCAGTTGCCTCTCTCAGGGAAAATACTTTATTTCCCCACCGTGATGTAATATGGAAATGATGAGACATTTCTACTTGTTTTGCTGATGGGTGGGTAGTTTTACGGGAAACAGGAAAGGACCTTTTGTTTTTATTTCTTACTCAAAGGTCACACTTTATTGTAATATTTTTTAAATATTAAATATTCTCATCATAAGGAGGGATTCGGTGTGCACGTTATCATTTTGCCATATGATGTCATGTCTCTGTGTCAGGGGTCGTTTCGTCATTGAACTCCACTAGAAGCCAACAGGATGAATACGTCAGACACTGAACAGATGTGGATCTTTGTTGTTGGTGATTGGACGACGCCAAATACTTTTTTGCTGCATCTTAACAGGAAACGGACTTTATGTAAATAAAATACTGAAAAGTTCCAAAGAAAACACGAGGGTTTCACTTGTAACAACGAGGTTCCGTCCCCTACACCACGATCTGGTCATTTTGGTGCAGTCTAAGCAAAGCTCCCCCTTCTCCATCATCCCAACCATGTGCTATAACTTTATTGAGTTGTAGATTTAGTAAAGTAAGCAAAATATGTTAACCGAATAAAATCAAAAGCTTTTAAATTAACCGCTATCTTCCCGTTTTTTGAGTGTTTTTTTAATCAAATTACGTTAAAGCTTGATCTGTGTGATAAGAAATGGAAATAAAATATCCCCCGCTCCCTAATCATTCTCATGCAGTCCCTCGCCCTCAAGCTAAACAAGCCTGTTTGTAAAAGCGCTCAAATGAGAGGACGACAGCTGCGACTCAAATTATTTGATTTCAGACGACAACACTTCGGTGTCAACGGGACCGAATGGGGAAAATACAACGGGAGATTTAAACCCAACAGAAAGGTCCGTGAGAAGCGACCCGACAGTGTCATTCTCACATCTTTACATAACCCAAAGTTCTGATCATATGATTATTGTTTTTTATGTGTTCCCCACCACTATTACTGTACTTGACAACTTGAAAACATTTCTGAAGGCTGTCAGGAAGTTCACAGTGGGGGGCACTGAATTGAGATTGCTGGTTTGTGTGTGTGTGTGTGTGTGTGTGTGCGTGTGTGTGTGTGGGCTGAGTTTGGGCTGTTTTTGGGACCGAGCCGCTTCTCTGTATTACAGGAGGCACCATCCGGCAGGGACGGGGGGGGGGGGTTTCTGGCGGTCTTGGCCCCCGTAACACACCAGCCTGCCCAATGGGATGGAAGTTATTGGAGGGTCGGGGGTGAAACAGTTGACACGATGTGTGACAGAAACTCATCATTTGAGTGTGATACAAGTATTTGACCTGCGAGGCTGTAATGTGGCTCGGCTTGTCTGGAAAGATTTATTCCAGATTGCAGGGCCTGAGGGGTCAGCGGCCGTACATGTGGGAGGTGTCCCGGGGGGGGGGGGAATTGCACTCGTGGGGGAAACGGCTGTGGACATAATGAAACGACGTGCATGAAAGAAAGAGTCTATGCGTCTCACTATTCTGTCTAGTTCCCCCAAAACACAGAAACAAAGCATGGAGACGTCTTACGCGTCGAGGTGATGACTTCGTTTAGCCTTTGCTTTCATGCAGATGTACATGTGTTGTACACTTCCTCGAATACAATGCATTTCTTTCTCCACCGAACTCGAACTTATGGCCCTGCTCCTCTTTCATGGACAGAAGCGGGGTTTTTTCAAGGAGAAAGAGGAAATGTTTAATCCAGTACCCACTGTGAAAAGAAAAAGTAATGCATATCTCACCATTTCGACTGTCTCCTGGCGAGTTGAAATTGAAATTTTAATGCATTTGAGAGGTTTTTTTTCTCCCCAAATGGAGAAGCTGATAGACACGGCGCACAGAGAGATGTCATATTTACCGTATGAACACCCATGGTTTAATGCTCTCCACAATACTGCCATCTCAAAGTTCTCCTGAACAAAACATGCTCTTCAACATAAAGAAAAAGGCAAAGAAGAAAATTATTCCTTGAGCTTTCCATCAAGCTTCTGCATTCATGGCAAAGTCTAAAGGGCATGTCAGTCCTCCTGCCTCTGAGAGAGGTAATTATCCTTTTCCTGTCAGAGAACAACAAATGATAGCCAACTATGGGGGTGCATTTTCAGGAGCGTAAATTTGTCAATTGGAAGGAGAAGGAGGTTTAATTTTCTGGCAGCTGCATATCTACTTTTATCCGCCTTTTTTCAATGGTCATTTGTTGCATGTTTTTTTTTCTACTCTTGCACAGGGGCTTTGAGCATCAGAGGGTGTGTTTATGTGCCCTGCATTAACATACCTATTTATAGTCCTACACTTTCTTGCAGTCATCTTTTTTTTCTGTTGTGACCATTTCACAGATTATATATTGTCCAAGTAATTTCCCTTTCAGCATCTGTGTTTTTTACCTTTCACAGAAAGCACTGAATGGAGGGAAAATTATCACAATTACTCATATAATTGAGCCGTCTTTGTGGCAAGTGCAGCTTCAGTAACCCTTTTTTCCATCAGCCAAAATGGTTTCATTATATGGGTTTTTCATATTCCCTGACACAGGGCTCTGCTGAGGGCCCGGCGCGTGGATGAGATGCAGGATGAACAGAGAGAATCATTAAGGTCACAGTAGGAATAATTATCCCAGCTATGGAAAGAGCATCTACAGCCCTTTTTTTTCTCCCCCCGCGGCACAAATGCAGTGTCCACGGTTTTGTTACGGATGGAGCTTCCACCTTCTACTTATACAAAGAAGAGAGGGGGAGAGCAGGACTTGTATCAACATGACAATTTTCCATCATTAAGACTAATGACAGGCACAGACTGTGGGGATCAAGGGGAGCACAAAAAAAGAGAGGCGCATTCAGGTGTTGGCTGAGTGCTGACCTCCTTCCCGTCTTTGTTGGAGACTTAACTCTTAACAAAAAACTAAAAAGGGGTTTCAGACTAAAGGCGCAGTGGCAGCTGAACGTCAAGCAGTCCAGCCCTCCATGGGCAAATGACTTAATTGGCGAATTTGCATGTTTTCCATTTGCTGGGAAATTAATTAAATAACACCTACACGTAAAGATGTTTAATCAATCGTTGATTTAGTGTTGGTGAAAATGAATATCCCAGTTTACAGCTATGGATTATAGTCCTGCCATCCAGCTCTCACATTAGAAAGTTGATTGAATTTTGATTATCCTTGAAACAGATTTTCTGATCAGTTTACAATATGCCCGTGTACTTGACAGCTGGGGATACTGTGACACGTAGCAAGCGTCAATGTGACTTCTTTTACAGTTGCTGAATTAAGTAAAAGCCATATTTTTCCAAGTCCTATCTCAGCCTTCGCTCAGGTAATTGGTCATTTTGCAGCCAATTTTGGGCAGGTTGGATGCTTGCTGCCATGGCCTGACCCCTGCTGCTGCTGTAATGGGGACAGCATTTCTACCAGTTCACTGGGGGCTTTTCCACACTGTGACCCCCAGCTTTCTGAGGAGAGAGCTGCTCTGAACAAGATGTGTGTGTGTGTGTGTGGGGGGGGAGAATATGACTTCTCAGCTCTGCAATGACCTTTAAGTCCTATTACACACATGTTAATTATACAGTATACTTCTTTTCTCCCGCAGGAGAAGGTTTGAGACTTCATTTGGAATAAAATAGGCACAGGTTCAAAATAAGCCGTTCATGATTTGCTTCTAAGGGAAAAAATACATATGAAGGACAACAAAAAACATTGACATTTGCATTTGATATATTGTCCCATTCGATGGCTCCTCATTGTCACCGGGCCAACGACATGACTCATCTAGCAACAGGTCCAGTTTGAGATCCCGGTGAATTCCAATCTGATTTGATGCTGATTCTTCAAAGTCATCAATGCCTGAAAAAAACCCCAAATATATTATTACGGACACAATTTGAAATAAACAACAAATTGTCATCAACATTTATTTGTTGGACAAGCCATCGAAAAAATGTGTCTGTAAATAAAGGAAATTGTTAGTTGTTAATAGGGGCATAATATGTGGATCAGATATAAATAAGACGGTTCAAAAGCTGAAAACACCAAATGGGAAATAAACAGATCTTAATTTAAAAGTCAAATTATAAAAAAAGGACATGGGCTATGGACAAAAAATATGTATGCTTTCATATTTTAAAAAAGTATTAAAATGATGATCACAAGTACTGATTCAACACGAGTATCTGGTTCGAGTCCAGAAATAAATTGTATTCCTTGTTTGTCTGAAAGTCATTTATTTTTCAAATCTGAATTGAACCCCCCCCCCTCCCCTCCCCCCTCCATGGCCTTATGATAATGCAATCAATTAACCGTTATAACAATCATGTTTCTCCGATGTTATGATTCTATTTTTTGTTTATGTGCTACCCAGTAAACAAAATCAATTCACATTTTGATGCCACATTGAACATGAAAATAGACATTGAGTCGAGTTAATTGTAGAGCATAGTTGCGCTCATTGACTCTGCTGCAAATTGCAAAGCCAGAGAGGAAGCGGAACAAAAGACAATTTTACTTTTTTGATCCAGTGCTTTAAAAAAAGTGACATAAATCTTCATAAAGTGTCTTTGAAACGAATCATATTCGCAGTGGGCATTTTCACACTAAAATAAAGGGATTGGAATATTGGAAATGTATACACGTCTTGTTATCACACGCAAGAGATGATAAAATAATACTAATTTGGGTAAATCAGCCAAACCGACCAGATGTCATCAAAAAACCTGAATCTGAAAAAGAACTCACACATTCTCCAAATAAAAAACATGTACACCTGTGTTCCGTCTCCTCTATAATGAAGGGGAAGGAGAAGAGGAAGAAGAGGAAGAAGAAGAAGATGCTCCCTGACAATAATTAATCACCGCTCACGTGCAGTCCGCGGGGCGCGCGCGGAGCGGTGCTCTCGCACAGCATGGCCGCGTCGCTGCACCGATGCGCCGCGGTGGGGATAATATTTGGTGGCTGTGAAAATGTGGGTTGGCATGGCAGTTGAGGAGGGCTTTCGATCACCGGACTGAAATGAAGTCTGTGACATCTTGGCCCGTTTGCCCCTCCACACCCCTCCTCTCTCCCTCTCTCTCCCTCCCTCTCTCTCTCTCTCTCCCTCTCCGCCTCGGCACTAACCCTCAGGTGAAGAGCAGCAGGTGTTAAAACACCCTCAGCCACAGAGCTACTCACTCCTAATGAGCCTTCTGCGCTCCATCCGTGCATGCGGGACTTTTATTTTTTAGTGCGGCTAAGTGAAGCCCGTGTGTGCCGCGGTGCCGCGGCGCAGGACGCACCGCTGTGGCCCCGCGCTGCCCTCCCGCCGCGAGCAGAGGAGTCAAATGATAAATTAAAGTGGTAACATTATCACCCGTCTGCGCTTCCTAACGAAAAATAATCCCTCCAATATGCGTCTGATCATTTAAGTTGCCAGCGAATGAACACTTGGTTATCGTCCAATTAGGTTTTACGCAGTATGCATTCCGTGACTCAGCTCAGCCCCAATTTGTATTTACTTCAACCAAAAGCATGTAATTATTATTGCTATTATTAGTATGCTCGCTGTTATTTTACCATGTTCTGCAAATTCTACCTTTATCCTGTTAATGGTTTGCTCACAGCCGCGTGTCAATTTGCGGATACTATAATCGTGGGAAAATAATGACAGTTATCAGTCGCACCCACCAAGTACCCATAAAAATCAGTCCTCTGTTCTGGAAGATGATAATTATTGGTTGTACTACCATTATCATTGTCGTTGTTGATGGAGGAAATCTTGAAGCATTTTCCAAAAGTAATTCCAGAGAAATCACTTCAAATTGGCCTATTTTAGGGGACAAGGCCAGCTTATAATATTGCACAGATATCTTTAAATTCAGGCATCTGCACCCGGCTGGTACTCTGTGGTGCACGTGTCCTGACGCCAGCGCCTGCATTTTGATAACACATTTTACAACTTGCTAGCAGTGTTCTGAGTTCAATTATGCAATTACACTGATAATCACTGTGACGGAATTTAACTGCCTTTAATTTGTTATTCAGGTGGAGATGGAGGGACTGCGGATGGAGCAGTCAGCCTGTGTTTCTGCTCTGCAGAGACACCAGAACAAGACCGACAGCCTGCAAATGAATCCTAATAAAATGAAGAACTGCCGGATCATTTATTCTTCTTCTTTCACCGAGGGCTTCCCGCGGAGGCTCTTTGGCCCTGAATGGCGTGGATTTATCTGCTTGTTTTCCACCACGTGTTTTTCCAAAGTAAGTTGCTTTCGGCTGCTGATTGAAATGCATATCTTATTGGATTTTAATACAGCCTGGTTAAACCCGATGGCTTCAGCAGTGACCCTGTTCCATGCGCGCTTATCGAGTTGTGGAGGTCTAAACCTGCAGCTCAAGAAGAAATGTCTTCTGTCAGTCGTCAGTTCAATTAAATCAAATGGCCGTGGATAATTATTCTTGTTAGGCTGCGGGAGGCTGGCCGCACCCCCATCCTCGCTTAGATTCGTGTTAATCAAACGTGCCCGGATTTAACAAAACCGTGACCATTAATTGGTGGCGATAGAAGATGCGTAAAGTCGTTCGGGAAGCTTTTGAATCGGGGTGAGAAAATAGGCCCGCGTGCATTCATTCAGCTGCTGGGTGAGACGCGATTGTTCCTGGTGAGGCTGTTCGTCTTATTGCCATGAATAATGGCATAATTAAAACAGTTTATTTTTCAAAAGGTGTTTTAAATTTGACTTAGACCCCGGCCTGTGATTGATACATTATTATGGAGCATTTTGTAGGCTTTGATGTTGTATGTTTTATAACATAAAACGTTTGGCCTGAGCCAACAAACCTGGTTTCACATCAGAGCAGAACGGGGTTTATCGTCTCCTGCGTGTTAAATATATGACAAATTACAAGCCTACTTATGAAAATCGAACACTAGTGTTATGCTAATACACCTTCCTTCAGATAGAGCTTTAATCTAAAGAAATATTTAATCAAACTGTCCGGAGTAGCTTCAACGAGAACGGAAATGATTATTTAACACTAATAAATGAGGCAGGTTTTATTACTGTGATACACCTGATTGTAGCTTATTACCCACCGCTGCTCCGATGTACAAGACCGCATTTTATTCCATAATACAAATGTGGATAGTGCTGAGACAATAGTGGACCAGGTGTCATCACTGAACGGCTTCCAATATTATCACAATTACGCATAAACGGAATTTTTATAATTTTGTATTCGCCGACTTGTAAACAATAATAGCAATAACACGAATAACAAAAATAATACGAGCGAATCTTGACATGTCAATAGGTGTCTTAGATGTCTGTGGTCTTCCTTGACTTTATCGGATTCTTCGGACCCAGCCCCAGCGGCGCCAATCGGCTTCCCTCTTGGAGAGAGTGGACCAATCAGCAACAGTCTTTGATGAATATTCATGAGTCCGAGATTCAAACCTTTGAGCGAGTTTGTCTTGGTCCACAGCATCATACCTAGGACTTTTCACAGGCACAAACTACATTTTCTTATGAATGGAAACAGAAAAAATCTGTTCGGCTTAAATTGGGACCCATCCTTCACTGAGATCATAGAAGGAAAACAACAAAGGCGAGACGAGGCGAACCGCCAGAAGAGATGACAATGACTACAATTCCAGAAAGTCTTAATAGCCCTGCTTCAGGAAAACCTGTTTTCATGGAGTTTGGATCCCCGAGTCAACAAATGTCGCCTTCCTCCATGTCTCACGGACACTATCCAATGCACTGTTTACATTCTGCAGGTCATGCCCAGCACGACAGCTACAGTCCAGCCTCGTCGTTCCCCAGATCTCTGGCTTATCCATACGTAAACTCTGTCGGCAGCCACTCCACCAGCCCATATCTCAGCACAGTACAGACCTACCAAAACAGCTCGGCACTCACACAGACACGCTTAGAGGAGACAGGTAAGTGTCCGGCGGCGTCTTCGGATCCTTAAAAATATGAACTTTCCATGTTGGCACCGCTCGCATCTGGTGTACAGTCGTCGCCGTCGTCGTCGTCGTCGCCGCGGCGGCGAAATGACGACCCAGATGTTGGAATTAGGCTCGGTAATTATTTATTGCGTAACGCTATAAACAATGTATGCAATTAAGGATAATTATACTTAAAGTGGAGCCCGTTAAAAAAAAAAACTTAGTGAGTATTCAAAGCTGCACAGCGCTGTTGTCTACAAACGCCTTGCTCATTCCTGTTCTCCCCCTCGTCCTCTCCCCCTCTCTCTCCCTTCTCAGCGCCAGAAGCGGAGAAAAACACGGTGGTCGAAGGCGGAGAGGTTCGATTTAACGGCAAAGGGAAAAAGATTAGAAAACCAAGGACTATCTATTCCAGTTTACAACTTCAAGCTCTAAACCGGAGATTCCAACAAACTCAGTATTTGGCGTTACCGGAGAGAGCCGAGCTGGCGGCGTCGCTGGGTCTCACTCAGACGCAGGCAAGTCCACGCGGCGCGCGCGAGCAGCTCCGCTCTGCGGGGGCACCGGGGGGGGCTTTTCACGTGCCTTTTTACCCCACTCAACAGGCCTTCAGATGTGTGTTTGTGTTATTATTGTTATTGTTAATATTGTTGTTATTAGACACCGTTTATCAGATGGTTAAATATGATTGGTCAAGAAGTTACAGGTTTATTTGGTTTGGTTTATTTCGCTGTCACGTGCGGGTTAACCGCGCAGAGATGTTGATAGGTCTGTTTAAAAAGAAATTTAGCGCTTGATTTTGTGGTAGGAAACCCGTGGCGTGCGCAAAAGTGCATTATTCTTCAAAACAGTCCATTAAAAAAAAGTAATAATAATTTGCTTTGTCGCTGCAGGTGAAGATTTGGTTTCAAAATAAGCGCTCTAAATTCAAGAAACTGATGAAACAAGGCGGGGGCACGATCGACGCCGCCGCTTTGGCCACCGGCCGCGGACTGTCGAGCGTTTCCCCCTCGGTGGCACCGGTCTGGAGCTCACCGACCACCGTGAAGACTCCGGTGGGGACGACCGGATCTTACATTCCCAGCTACACCTCGTGGTACCCCACCGCACACCAAGAGTCTATGCAACAGTCACAGCTCATGTGAACGGAGACCTCAGCCCTCGACTCCGCCACGGCTCGTGCATCGCGATGGGAAGGGGGGGGGGATTGAGGCCCCTCGGCTCGGCGACCCCCGGAGTTTGCTGCAGCCAATGCTGACCCAGCGGCCTCTTCATACCGGATGACGGCAAGCAGCTAGAGGAGAAGCAGGGAGCTCAGTGCTGAAAAGGCGCGCGAAGCGCCCACGGGCAACCAGTCCGTGACAGTCAGCGGAAGTTGTTGACCAGTGGATGTTTTTGTTTTTGTTTTTTTCAAAGCTGCTGTTCATCACTTTTGTGGCAGTTAATTTTTTTTGTTTTTAATACTTGTGTGAATTTTTCTGTTTGTAAGAAAACACGTGTTGGTTTACACCAGATGTTGGCCCCGAAGTGATAATGACCTGAAATCGATCTGCATTCATTAACAGATAACGGTTCATTCTTTTTACCAAATAATGCTAATTAATACATTAAACTATTATTCTTTAAGCATACTCAACCCCAGGGCATTTTGTGCAAAGCCTCAACTCGCTATATGTTGTTTATGTGTTTGTTATTTAAGTTAAATTATTCAGACCAGTTTTTCCTGTTGAGGTCAGTCAGTGTTCATTTTTGTAAGTGTGTTTTGAAATTACAACACTGTGTTGTTAATGCTGCACTAACGCAAGCAAAGCTTTTCTATGCCGCCCGATGTTATGTGAAAATGTAAAAGGTCTGGCAATTTGCTGCTTTAGAAAAAAGAAATATCCTGATGGTGAGCAGCTCATTTGTCACTGTATTTTGTACATAACTCTCAGACTTGTTTTGTGCTGTACTGGATACGCTGTGGAACAGGGTTTTAGGCTTTCTGTATTCGTCGACATGTGTTTAGTCAACATAGAAAATATTTAGTTTTGTATTGATGACTTTAATTTATTTATCTGTTTCTGAAGTTTATGTACATAATGTGCAAAGTTTCAAAAGCAGTAAAATAATGATTTAAATTATGTCAAGAAAGGTGTTTGATTGACCCCCCCCCCCCCTCTTCACTCCTCCATCCTCATCCCACGTGAAAAGAAAGGCTTCAGCATGGTGCAGCTTTAATGGGAGCTGACACAAAGCAGTATCATGTTGGTTATTGTAGCGGACACCGTGTGAGCTGCAAAAGGCTCGTCGTTTAGATTTATGGTCGTGTTTAGCATTTAGCCGACATGGCTTCCTGCTGCTGCTGCTGCTGCTCACTGGTTGCAGATGTTGTCAAACATCTGGGGTGATAGAAATCTGACTTTGAATCCTAAAAACACGAAAAGGGGCTATATGGGTAAATCTTTTTTTTTTTTTAACGTAGCTTATTTTTAAAAAAGAACATCAGCTAACACTGGGAAACATTTGGCCTAAGCGAGCTGCACTATTTAACCGTCGCGCCGCGGGAGACCTGGATTCATTTAACGTCGTTTATTTCTTTTCAGCTTTTCTCAAAGCTAATCTTCTTACATGTTGTCTTCCGACAATCCCCCCATTTGTGCCGTGAATGGGACAGATCAATTGTGTGTGTTAAGTGAATAATCGCGCGAGAGGCAGGTGCTGCCGCTGCAAAGGGCCGAAGGACGCGCGGGATCAGGCCAGATCAGAGAAAGTGAAAACTTCAAAGGCTTCTTGGTTAAACCTCACACTTCGTTTATTTACTCAAGTTTCACGCTCTTGGAATAGTCCTTTTTTTGGTTGACTATGAATTTTAAATGTGTGTTTGGTTGGTTCAATATTATGTTCAATATTATTATTATATAATATTATATATATATTATGTTTTTTAACACCAAGCAAAACTAGAATAACTTGTCTATTAAAACATAAACAATTATACTTGCGAAATAACGAGGAAAAATTAGTAAGCCGAATTAACAATAAATAGCTCAGATATGGTGCAATTCCGACAAATAAAAGTAAAACAAAGCATCTGGAGTGTTGTCCATGAAAGAAAACAAATAATGAAACAAAGAAATAGAGATGCACGCCTTGTTCTCGCTCTCTCATCCAGCTTCAATGTCTGTGAATATATACAGGTTTTGCAATCATAATGGAAAATCTGATCCAATCTGTGAAATCTGCATCAGTTTCATTTGTCCTTTGCTAAAAGGACAAATCAAACCGTTATGACACTGTTATTACTATTAAAAATAGTATTGCACATTGTATTATATGGATGTTGGTGCAGTCTTACAGCAACCCTCCCTTTAAAACATTCAGCATCAGAGGGACTAAAAGGAAATAAGCTTTGACCTTTTTTCCTTAACGTCCCTTTGACACCTTATCGTTATTCTTTTACAACATTCAGAACACATACCCACCGAAGGAGAATGTGCTTGTATTTCCATATACCACTAAGAAAGAGAATTGTGCTGCTGCAATAGTGAACATAAATCTGCCTGCTTAGCCCCAGAAAGGCGCAGCTGCACATCCAAGAGGGTCAGCGTTATTTCGCTGTATTCTCCTCTTGATTATACGAACTGGGCCCATCAAACCCAGCATAATTACAGTAATTTCGCCCTTATTTATTCTAATGCAGTTTCCTATCTCTGAGGTAATTATGAGCTTTTTTTTTTCTCGCACGGAGGATCTTTCTGCTTTGACAAAAGAGATGGAGCTCTGAAAGAAATGTGCTGCTGCAAATAGAAGAAAAAAAAAATAAGCAAAATAGGTGAACTGCCATTTCGTCACTGTTCCCTTAGACGTAGCTTACGTGTAAGGCTGGCAAATTGCTTGCAGGTGTACATCACAGAGTTGTCAATGCGAAGAGGCCTCAAAATTATCAAAGCACAATGTAAGAGTAATGAGAGCGACCAGATTCAAAACCAACTTGTGTTTCTCCCCTTCCTTACATCCTCTTGATAGATTTCTCTATAGAGCCCTTTCCCCAGAACATAAGCCCACTGAATACACTGGAGACAAATGAAACATAAAAATAGCTATTTCCATCCTTCATTTTACTGTCAAGGAACCAGTCCTAGAAATAGTTTAATAGCATGAAAATCGTAAAATCAAGATTCACGCCCTTTTCCTGTTTTTTGGTACTTGCTATAAATATTTCAGATATGATCCTTGAATACACACCTTTCAGCTTGAAATGAAGAGGCGAGCTCCCTCTCAGGGTCCCTATAGACAGCTGCATGGAGGAAGATGAGCAGCAGTATCCTGAGATACTACAAGATAAGATGCATAAATCCCACCAGATCCGTGTGTTGGTCTAAGCTATAGCAGCAGAGTTCAGAATATGACTGGAAATGTCCGCTTTATTTCCCCTCTTTATAGCTGTTGAGGGAAAAATGTAGATTATTAGCATAAATGTTTACTCCTCATTACGCTGATGACATTGTGCACTCGAGATCTTGGTAATCTTTGGGGTAAATTATGAGTATTTTTTTTTTATTTAAAGCAGCAGTTACCGTGCAATTCAGGCTAATTCTGCATATGGCTTCACATGGATATAATTATCGTTGAGTCAAGATGTTAGACTAAAAAAATGTGCATTGATATCCCCATTTATTATGTACATTCAACTTTGACAATTTTGATGCTTGAAAAAGCGGTAAATTGTCTTGTGTAAAAATAACACCCCATATTAGGACATCTAAAATTGCGAAGAATTATGTAGTAATTGCAGGCTTTCAGATTTGAAAGCCAATGCTCAAACTAGAGCAAATGTGTATGAAATTACAGATCAGGGCATAAATTAGAGTTGCTAAGGCATTTACAAGTTAGCTGGATAAATGCAAAAGTGGGCCTATAAACTAGAGTAGCTATAATCCATCAACGAAGTCACATGAGGCAACATCAAATATCCAGAATCAATGATCATTATTGCATTACTTAATGAACAGAATTGATTGATATCATTGTTCAGATATCTGTGCTGATAACTTAAACTAAGCTTAGTGAAAACCATGCAGCTCACCAGTCCACAGCTCTGTTATCATGAGAGCCTGTCATGACACATGCACTTATATTATATTCAACGGTGTGGACCAATTAAATACAATGTCAACACTAGACATCCCGGCTTATGTTATTTTATATACATGTATATATATATTACATTACATTACATTACAGGTCATTTAGCAGACGCTTTTATCCAAAGCGACTTACATTACACTTTAAACCCATGGCTTTTTCACATTTTGCCTGGGGAGCAATTAGGGATTAGGTGTCTTGCTCAGGGACACTTCGACATGAGAACATGGGGCAGCTGAATCGAACCACCAACCTTGTGCTTCCCAGCACACCTTCTCTAACCCCTGCGCCACGACGACCCCCATATACTATATATATATATAGTAGATGAAGTAGATGTATAGGTTGGTGAACAGACCTGGGATCTGATCCTGTCTACTCCATCCTGGAGATTCAGTAACCGCTGACAAGCTACAGTCCTAATTATGTAGGCAACAGCGAAACGATCCCACTTGATGGCCTGCATGTTTGAAGGGAAACGTGTGGGTAAGAAAGTGATGATTATGAATGAGAACTAAGTGATGGGACTGTGTATCACACACACACACACACCCTCATCTATCTTCCCATCGTAGCCAAAATAGCTCAGATACAATGGACTTTACTGGCAGCCAGTACATGTAGCTTTTTGGACGTGTGCCTACATGTGAGCCACATAAACAATGTGGGTCAACGTGCTCCTCTCCAGAGATCACAGGCTCTGACGTCGGCCTCCTCGTGAGACATGTTTCCATGATGCTGCGTGTAGCTGCAGGCTGCCTTGGAACGAGTTCCTCTTGTTAGGCCGAGTTCATAAAACGTCTGGAAAGCGACTCGCTGACTCCACAGAGTCTGGGGAGCTCGTGCTCATTCACACCCACCGTCATCTTCCGATCTCGCATGCCAAGGCGTGTTGTCGTGCCGCTCCGCCCCCCTCCGCCCCGGGCCTCCTCGCCTGCCTGCCTCGGCCTGCCTGGACGAGCCGCCATGCTAATGCTAATGCTAATCGTGTGCGTGGGCTGCACCGGGGAAAATAACCCGGGACAGCTGAGGAATTGTCTCGCGCAGGTCCGCGCTCGCTAGAACAACATAGTATTTAAGAAACACGTTTTTAATCAATGTGACTTGGCTACACTTAGAAATAAACACCCGCCTAGCTTAATATTCAACTAGTTGTTTTTTTTTTACAGCTAAGCTAACACAAAAAACAGACGGAAGTGCAATAGTTAGTTTATTTGTTTTTATCCGCTAATTCTATTGCGTCAAAAATATATGGTTTAAATAAACCACAAAAACAGTTTGATGCATGCTCATTTTAACATGTCAGCTTAAATTTGCAATATTAAGCAATGTTGGCATTGGGAATGAAGCAATTTTACCATGCAAATTGTACGGTCCAATACGTAACCCATCGCTGTAAAATAAAGTAAGTTAAAATAAAATAAAACAGGTTTACGATTTAGGCCCATTAAAACAAATTAACCAACATTATTCCTCCCAGTCATCCATAAAAGGAAAATAGGTGTGCATGTGAATAGAAAACAATTGTGGAAGAAAATAAGGCATATTCACAGAAAACATTTTTATTTAAATAACGTCTGGCCATATATAGAACATTGCTAAAAATAAATAAGACAAAAATACAATTAAGTGTGATACAAATAGCCTAAATCCGAAAGTAGGACAATCAGTAGCTTAAGGTGGTCAATGGATTTGCACCAATAGCCGAAAAAAAAGAGTCAAAAGCAACATGGGCTATGAAAAAGCTGTGATAAAATATTTACAAACATGGGTTCACTTACCCCCATAAGCCTATAATCAAATCAACTGAACAAAACGAATGGATAAAGATACACAGTTTTTCATCCCACAACAAAATGAGGTCATATTGAAAAAGGCACGATACAGTTAATTTGTGCTACATTTGTAACAGGTCGTCCTGCGATGAATGTTTAGTTTTTGCACATATGGCAGAAAAAAACGTAAAAGGAGGCTCGCGCCCAGGCTGTGATTGCTTTGGGTAATAGTGGTTCACTCATCCTTTGACATAAACTAAATAAATAAATACAAAAATAACTGTAAAAATCTGTGACTACCATAGCGCAAAAACGGACAAAGTCCACGAGCCAGTCCGGCTCCCTGGTCTTCTCCTATAGGTGCGTGCGTGGAACAATCGCGTGGCGCACTCACGAGGCCTGTGAAATGAAGGTAATGGCATTTTTTTTTTAAATTCACCAGTATTGTCCGATTTTAATTTTTTTTTTTCTTCTTGTTTTGTATTTCTCAGAATATCGTCCCAGCGCTTATGGCGGCGTTGTGGTGGTGCTGGATCAGAGGTGGCTGCAGATGCATCGCAGAGTTCGTGGTGGAGTACCAGGAGTAGTTTGTCAGAAAGGATGAAGGCGCGGACGTGTTGGGGGGGCTGCTGCTCTGAGGTAAACTGGAGTTGACGCTGTTCATCCTTTGAGTCTGTGGAAAGTCCCATGCGGTAGTTGGCGGAGACGCGCAGGGGGGAGATTCGCTTGAAGCAACATGTTGCTCTGGGACGATTTCTCCACTTTTCCACAACTTCTTGAATTTGGAGCGCCGGTTTTGGAACCAGATTTTGACCTGAGAAACAAATGACAAGCGTGAAATTGATGAATCGTCATTCAGCAATTTCCGATCGGTTGATACTCTCTCGGATCGGATTTCAGATTGGAGATTTGGAAGCATATTCCTGTTTTGGATGCACCCACCTGTGTTTGCGTAAGGCCCATCGATGCTGCCAGCTCGGCCCGTTCGGGTAGAGCCAAATACTGCGTCTTTTGAAACCTCCGTTGAAGTGCAGCCAATTGGAAGCTGGAATAAATGGTTCGAGGTTTCCTGACCTTCTTTGGTTTTCCATTAACCATCCGGATTTCTGGCTCGCGCTCTTCTTTTTCTGAGGGAATATTAATAAAAACAATTCAAGTATGCACGATGAGTATTTTCTTTTCCTGCACGGTCATCAGTTTGTGTTTAGTGTTAGTTGTGTAAGCTAACCCTAATAATTAATTAGGTCCTATCGGATTTGTATGTTATAATGAAATCAAAGGTAGTTCAAGTTTCCTTGACATGTTTATATATGAACGTACATTAACTGAACATTCACTATCTATTATGTGCGCATCTGGCAAGATGTCTCTCTTGTACGTTATGTATTATTTACTTCATAAAGTCCATGCAATAAGTCAGTTTATAAGTTGTCTCTCAAACAAAAGCACGACGCTAATGGAGACTAAAATAATAACACGCGTGTTTACCTGTATCGGCCGGAGGTGGAGAAGTGTTGGAGCCGTACGAGCTGTAAACACCGTACGATGAGTTGAAACCGAGGTCGTACGGCTTTGTGTTGTACGGCACGGTGCTGGGCGGGTTTCCGTGATACTGGTAAGAGCCCAGTTGTCCAAATGGAGAGCCGTGGCCAGGCTGTTGGTTGTTGTAATAGCTGCTGTCCGTCGCCGTGGACACCGGCAGGGTCGGGGACTCCTGCGATTTATGCAAACTGTGGTAATTGCTTGAGGTAATCTGGTTCGAATGCATATCGGTATTTAAATTCTCAAAAACCCCGGTCATCTTCGCGCGAAGCGGATCAGCCTCGCAACCTATACGCGCCAAAAAAAAGAAAAGAAAAAAAAAAGAAATCACAAAAACTGCGAAGCGGCAAGTTGCAAAAACACGACTCTCAAATCTTGGGCTGATGACACCTTTTTTTTCGCGAATCGAAACGCATCCCCGTGTAAACTGCGGCAAAACAAAAAAAAATCAGCGGAAGGTGTGTCCCTCTCTCAGTGGCCTGTGATTATCTGCTATGGTCGGTGGTGGGAGCGCATTTATGAGAGGGGGGAGAGCTGCTGTGTCTGAGGCAGCCAATGAGTAGAGGCTGCACGCCTCAACACCCCCCCCCCCCCCCTCCCTCCATTATTTACTAAGGTCTGTCTGGTCTGTAGAGAGTTTGCCTCTCAAAGCATCTCAAAAGAATCAGAGGACAGTTCCTATGGGTCCAACAGGTCGGGTCACATAACGCGGACTTCCGTCAGATCTGTGCGTAAATCTGCCATCCGACAAAACATCATGTATGACAGCAGCTGGAAGCCAGAAATACATTCCCACGAATTAACTATTAACTGGCCCTCTTCGTTTTTATTTTACCCATGTCAGTATAACAGATGTATGTCTATTTGTGTGTTTTAAGGAAAATCAGGCCTTTTTTTGTGGAATTTCTGTTTACATTTTTTAACCAAATTATGATGAAATTAAGCTGAGTGAGAAGTAGTCTAGAGAAAAAATACGACAGAGTTACTGGGGGCTGGAATAGGTC